AGAGAATTGGCTGTCTGCCAAGTCTCTCACATTAGAAGTGACTTGCAGATGTTTTATCATCCTGTGGGAGGCGTCTCTCATGTCCTAGCATGGGAAGCTGGAGCTGACAGATAGTAGCTCACCCTGTTTCACAGATTCAAACTGCTGACGTTCAGTCAGCAGTTCAGCTGGCACAAGGGTTTAACCCATTGCACCACCGCGGTTGGACTAGATGGCTTTCTTCAGGTCAGCAGTTCAGCTGGCACAAGGGTTTAATCCATTGCACCACCACAGTTGGACTAGAAGGCTTTCTTCAAGTCAGCGATTCAGCTGGCACAAGGGTTTAACCCATTGCACCACCGCAGTTGGACTAGATGGCTTTCTTCAGGTGAGCAGTTCAGCTGGCACAAGAGTTTAATCCATTGCACCACTGCAGTTGGACTAGATGGCTTTCTTCAGGTCAACAGTTCAGCTGGCACAAGGGTTTAACCCAGTGCAACATCACAGTTTGGCTAGATCGCTTTCTTCAGGTCAGCAGTTCAGCTGGCACAAAGCTTTAACCCATTGCACCACCGCAGTTGGACTAGATGGCTTTCTTCTGATCAGCAGTTCAGCTGGCACAAGGGTTTAACCCATTGCACCACCACGGTTGGACTAGATGGCTTTCTTCAGGTCTGCAGTCCAGCTGGAACAAGGGTTTAAACCATTGCACCACTGCAGTTGGACTAAATGGCTTTCTGCAGGTCAGCAGTCCGGCTGGCACAAAGGTTTAACCCATTGCACCATCTATGGACAATGCTGGCTCTTTGGCGTAAAAATGGAGATGAGCACCCCCTCGCAGAGTCAGATACAACTAGACTTAATGTCAACGGGAAACCTTTAGCTTAAACTTTAAGTAACAAGATTTGAAAAAAAAATCTGTTCCTGGTTTGAAAGTATTATTTCCTGTTTGCTTGTGCAGTACTTACTTTGAAAGTAATTGTTATACTCCAGAAACATCATTTTTGTGGCTGTATATGTGTTTTTGTGTGTATATATGTGTATATGTATGTGTATATATTTGCGTATATGTGTATATATGTGGTTTGGCACATGCATTGTAATGTATTTTTTATTTTTGGGCTTTTTACGTCTCTTCTGTTGTGTTTTTCAGTGTTTTTATGAGTGATGGTCACTTGTTAGCCTGATAGGTGTATTGTGTCCAAATTTGGTGTCAATTCGCCCAGTGGTTTTTGAATCATGTTAATCCCATAAACAAATGTTACACTTTTATTTATATAGATTACTACTGTACCCTCAGTTTGCTTCTGACATGATAAATAAAAATAGTCAAATGTACCTTTATTTACAAAATATTCATTACAAGATATTTGCAAATTACTATTTGAAAATGCTTGCTATACGTAATGGGTTTGTTCATTTTTTTCCTACGTATGGAGACTTTTCGGTCACCCTGTATTTACAATAGGAGCAAAAGATCAAACAAGATATATACAACATACTATCTACTTGAAAATGCTTGTAATATAATGGATTTGTAATCCCCCCCCCCCCTATATATGGAGACTTTGGAGTCACCCTGTGTTTACAATAGAAGCAAAAGAACAAACAAGGTATATATAAAATATATCTACTTCAGTGTTTCTCAACCTGGGGGTCGGGGGGGGGGGGGGGGGTTGCCAAAGACCATCAGAAAACACATGTTGGTCATAGGGATACCGTGTGGAAAGTTTGACCCAATGCTTTCGTTGGTGGGGTTCAGAATGCTCTTTGATTGTAGGTGAACTATAAATCCCAGCATCTACAACTCCCAAATGTCAAGGTCTGTTTTCCCCAAACTCCACCAGCGTTCACATTTGGGCATATTCAGTATTCATTTCAGTATTCTATTATAAACACAGGGTGACCCAAAAGTCTCCATACATAGGGCAAGCATCCTCAGAGGTAGTGAGGTCTGTTGGAACTAGGAAAATGGGTTTATATATCTGTGGAATGAACAGGGTGGGACAAAGAACTCTTGTCTGTTGGAGCTAGTTGTGACTATTTCAACTGACCACCTTGACAATAGCCTTCAACAATAGATCTATCACTCTTTGAGTCCAGTTCTTTCTGGATATAGGTGAACTACAATTCCCAAACTCAAGGTCAATTCCCATCAAGCCCTTTCAGTATTTTCTGTTGGTCTTGGAAGTCCTACGTGCCAAGTTTGGTTTAATTTTATTGTTGGTGGGGTTCAGAATGCTATTTGATTGTAGGTTAACCATAAATCCCAGCAACTACAACTCCCACAGGACAAAATTAATACCCTCCCCCAATCCCACCAGTATTTAAATTTGGGTGTATTGGGTCTTTGTGCCAAATTTGGTCCAGTGTATGAAAATACATCCTGCATATCAGATATTTACATTACAATTCATAACAGTAGCAAAATTAGTTATGAACTAGCAACCAAAATAATTTTATGGTTGGGGATCACCACAACATCAGGAACTATATTAAAGGGATCACAGCATTGGGAAGGTTGAGAACCACTGATCTACTGGAAATTGCTTGTAATATAATGGGTTTGTTAATTTTTTTTCCCTATGTATGGAGACTTTTGGGTCACCCTGTGTTTATAATAGAAGCAAAAGAACAACAAGATATATACAAAATATTTTCTATTTGAAAATGCTTGTTATACATAATGGGTTTGTTAATGTTTTCCTGTGTATGGAGACTTTTGGGTCACCCTGTGTTTACAATAGAAGCAAAAGAATAACAAGATATATACAAAATACTACTACTATTATTATTATTATTATTATTATTATTATTATTAAACTTTATTTGTACCCCGCTAGCATCTCCCGAAGGACTCGATGCGGCTTACAAAGGCCAAGGCCTCAATACACAACATAACAATACACTTAAAGCAAAATTAAAACAATTAAAATAGTATTAAAACAACAAGCCACAAGCAATAAACAGTACATCAACAAGATAAAACTGGGCCGGGCCAGAGTAAAAGGGTACAGAAATTAAAAGTGCTGATGTAACAGGTGATATTATAGGGCAAGTGCAGTGTGCAGAGTGCGGCTGTCTTAATTCTAATAAAGTGCTTATGGGACTTGGTATTGGAGGTTTCCTATTCGGGGAAGGCACATCGGAACAGCCAGGTCTTCAAGTTCTTTCTGAAGACTGCCAATGTAGGGGCCTGTCTAAGATCTTTGGGGAGAGTGTTCCAGAGATGGGGGGCCACCACGAAAAAGGCCCTATCTCGTGTCCCCACCAAACGTGCTTGTGACGCAGGCGGGATTATGAGCAGGGCCTCTCCATATGAACGTAGTGAACATGTGGGTTTGTAGATGGAGATGCGGTCACTATCTATTTGAAAATGCCTGCAATACATAATGGGTTTGTTAATTTTTTTCCCTATGTATGGAGACTTTTGGGTCACCCTGTCTTTATAATAGAAGTAAAAGAACAAACAGGTATCTATAAAATACTATATACTTGAAAATGCTTATTATATAATGGGTTTGTTAATTTTCTTCCTATATATGGAGACTTTTGGGTCACCCTGTGTTTACAATAGAAGCAACAAGATACATAAACACTATCTATTTGAAAATGCTTGTTATACATAAGGGGTTTGTTAATTTTTTCCTATGTATGGAGACTTTTGGGTCACCCTGTATTTACAATTATTTTATTATTATTATTATTATTATTATTATTATTATTATTATTATTATTATTATTATTATCATCTTTATTTGTACCCCGCTAGCATCTCCCGAAGGACTCTATGCGGCTTACAAAGGCCAAGGCCTCAATAAAAACAACAACATAGCAATACATATAGCATTATAAAGCAAGTCAAACATCAAGCAATAACAGTAAACAATAAAACAATACACCACGACACAATAAAACTAGGGCCGGCCAGATGTAATGGGTACAGGTTAAAAAGTGCTGAGTATGACAGGTGGAATATAGGATTTTGGGGTAAGTGCAATGTGCAGGGGGCCCCCGGTGGCGCAGTGGGTTAAAGCACTGAGCTGCTGAGCTTGTTGATCGAAAGGTCGCAGGTTTGATTCCAGGGAGCGGCGTGAGCTTCCGCTGTCAGCCCTAGCTTCTGCCAACCTAGCAGTTCGAAAACATGCAAATGTGAGTAGCTCAATAGGTACCGCTCCGGCGGGAAGGTAACGGTGCTCCATGCAGTCATGCCGGTCACATGACCTTGGAGGTGTCTACGGACAACACTGGCTCTTCGGCTTAGAAATGGAGATGAGCACCACACCCCAGAGTCAGACATGACTGGACTTAATGTCAGGAGACTACCTTTACCTTTACCTAAAGTGCTTCTGGGGCATATTGCTGGAGTTTCCTATTCTGGAAAGGCACACCGGAACAGCCAGGTTTTCAAACTCTTCCTGAAGACTACCAGTGTAGGGGCTTGTCTAATATCCTTGGGGAGGGTGTTCCAAAGTCGGGGGGCCACCACAGAAAAGGCCCTGTCCTTTGTCCCCACCAGACGTGCCTGCGACGCAGGTGGGATCGCGAGCAGGGTCTCTCTGGATAATAGAAGCAAAAGAAGAAACAAGATATATACAAAATATTATCTACTTGAAAATGCATGTTATTTTTTCCCCTAATAAACATGCAATTTCAAAAGTTTTGTGGAAGCTCCTCAAAGCAGCCCAGTCCCCTTTGCCAGAACAAGGCTTCCATCTCAGGAGGAGGATTGTACCATTTGGGGGGAGGGGGGCACAGACTCCTCTAATTTTAGTATTTACAGGCATGAGGAAATACAAACATTGTGTGAAGCTGGAATCCTCCTCTTTTAGCATTTGTCGGGATGGGGAAGGGAGTCTTTGCAAATGAATGCAAATGAAAGCAAATGAAAGCGCCATCCCTCCCCCCAATTAAATGACTCCATCCCTGGGGGTGCTTTACCTGCAGAGCAGCAGGAGGGAACCCCCCAAGCCAGCCCAGCCCCCTTGTTGGCTGTCTTCTCCTGCCTGGCTTTGGGCTTGCAATGCCTCGCCCTGGTCTGGAGGAGGCTCTGCGTTGCCCGGATGTCTGTCAAAGTGCTCGGGCAGGACTCCTCCACCGGAGTCGACAGAGAGAGAGAGAGAGAGAGAGAGAGAGAGAGAGGCTGAGCTCAGGAAGCGAGTGCTACTGTTTAGCCTTTTGGAGAGGAAGCCAGGCAAAGGGAGGCGAGAAGGACGAAGCCTTGGAGAGAGAGCGCTGCTTCCCCGGGGAAGGCCAATGGAGGAGAAGTTTTGGGGTCTGGGCGGCGGGTAGGGCAAGGGCGCCCCAAAGGCTGCTGATGGACCAGAGGCGCCCACTTTGCTAACTTCACTATGGCCGCCCAGTCAAG